TTTTTTTTTTTTTTTTTTTAAATTTTGAGGTAAGGTTTTACTAAGTTGCTAAGTTGCCCAGGCTGGACTCAAACTTACAATCCTCCTGCCTCAGCCTCCCAGAGTGCTGGGATTGTAGGCATGTGCCACTGTGCCTGGTTCTACTAACTATAGTTAACACTAGTGAAACCTTTAAAAACGAATCATAATTATGGGATATGAGAGCAAGAAAATCGGTTGGGAATTTAAGAGCTTATATGAGGGGCACGATGTGAAGAGCTTATGTTGTTACAGGCTCTTCTCTTGGAGTGTAAGAAGAATCATATTTAGATCTATTATTTTAAATCTTTCTTTAAATGGTACTTGCTGTTTTTAATCTCTCCAGTCCTTCACCAAAGTCTTATATAACAGTATAACTGTGTGCACAGTGCTGTGGAAGTGAGAGATGAGATATAAGCAATTTTGAAGCCTGTCCTTAAAGTTCACTCATATGATGTACACATTTATCTTCATTCATATGTGTGTGTATACATCTGTATCTGTTGGAATCTGCACAATTATCGCTCTGAATCTGGAGAAGATTGATTCCAGGACCTCCTCAGTTACCAGGATCTATGGGTGCTCAAGTCCCTTATACAAAATGGCACAGCATTTGTGTAGAACCTACACGCGTGCTCTGATACGCTTTACATCCCCTCCAGATGACTTATAATACCTAATACCATGGGAATGCCATGTAAATAGCTATAATATAGTATTGTCTAAGGAATAATGACAAGAAAAACATCTGTATGTTTTCAACAAAGACCCATTTTTAAAGACTTTTTTTTTTTTTTGGTGTGTCTGTGGTACTAGGGATTGAACCACCCAGGGCCTCTGCACTGAGCCGCATCCCCAGCCCGTTTATATTTTTATTTTGAGACACATTCTGACTAAGTCACTAAGTTGCCTAGAATGGGCTTGAACCTGTGATTTTCCTGCTTCATCCTCCCAGAATGAAAATATATTTTTAATTAAGTTTATTGGCACATTGTAGATATACATAATGATCATATTCATCATAGGGAATTTGTACCTGTACATGATATATTTTGGGTTTTGTTTGTTTGTTTGTTTGTTTTTTGTCTTTTTTTTGTCTTTTCTTCCAGTACCAGGAATCAAACTCATGACCTTGCGCTTGCCAGGCAGGCGCTTTGCCACTGAGCTAAATCCCCAGCCCTGTACATGATATATTTTGGGTTTTGTTTGTTTGTTTGTTTGTTTTTTGTCTTTTTTTTGTCTTTTCTTCCAGTACCAGGAATCAAACTCATGACCTTGCGCTTGCCAGGCAGGCGCTTTGCCACTGAGCTAAATCCCCAGCCCTGTACATGATATATTTTGATTCCTCTTTCTTTTTTGAAAAATATTTTTGATCTGAATATGGTTGAATCCTCAGATTTGGAATCAACACATAGGGAAAACCAAGAGTATGTGTCACATTCACTCTTTAAAGCTGCTGTTTATTGAGTCTGTGTGCCCATTCCACCCTTCCAATCCATTTCATTGTTGATTAAGAGAGCAAGGCAAGTTTCTTCACCTGGGAACAAGATACAGTTATGCACCACATAACACAGACAAAAATGGTGGTCCCCCAAAATTAAAATGCAGCTGAAAACTTCCTGTTGCTTAGTGATGTCATAGAGCAACACATTACTCATGCATTTGTGCTGATGTTGGTGTCAATAAGCCCACTGACCTGCCAGTTGTATAAAAGTATAGCACAGGGATAATACTTGATAATAAATGGCTATGTTATTAGCATCCTCACCACTTGAACCTCCACTCCAGTGTCTATAACTAACAATTCGGTCTGATTTAACATCGCCTTCTCAACCCTGTGGGGTTGAGAATCTTTGAAGTATAATGACGCAAATATTGCCTGTTTACCCATACCTATTTGCAAACTCCTACAATTGTTTTCATATGAAAACTTTCTCCTACTGCATTTGTCTTTGCAAATTGTTTCCTAGAGGCAATGTGGAGGGTAACTAGTTAAAGGTCTGGAGACACTGGAGTAGGAGAGTGGAACCTGAGGAAAACGAACTTTGTTTTCTTCTTCCTTGCTGTTGGACTCAGAAGGGGTAACAAACAGTCAGACAAAGGACAAGGTGGTGTATTTTCTTTTAACTTAAACAACGGAGGCTCAATAGGAATTGGAGATTCTGCTAAGCCTCTGTTCTCCTAACTATCCTGTTTATTCTCCTTTCAAATCTCCATGTTCTGTGCTTTTCTGACCATTGTTCTAACTTTTACTTAGAGAATTGACAAGGCTGTGAATTTGTGGAATTTTGTAATTTGGAATGGTAATACATTTTTATTTTAAAGAGAAAAAACAATGAAAACAATGATACAGAATTTCAAAACAAGGTAATAGGAAATTAACAATGGTTATTATATTGCATATTGTTATCTTCGAAGTAATCGCTCAGATTACAAGATATAGGCATGCAAATGGAATGGTGATAGATTAAAACACAAAAGTTTGAATACTTTTCTTGCAATGTGTTAAGTGATCCCCTGAGCATAGTCATAGAAATTTCGTCCCCCAGCCTGAGTCAAAATTTCAAGAGATTTGAATGTTTGCCATATTAGCTATCCAAAAGAGTGATGAAGCACACATCTTCATCTGCTATGATTCTTGAAACACTGTGCTACCATAAACACAGTGCAGCAAATGTAATTTTAAGACATTTTCTGTCACTTAAAAATTCTTGGGAGAGGCCAGGCACAGTGGTGCACGCCTGGAATCCCAGCACTCGGGTGGCTGAGGCAGGAGGATCAGTGCGAGTTTGAGGCCACCCTGGGCTACAAAGTGAGTTCAAGACCGGCCTGAACTGCATAGCGAGACCCTGTCTCAAAAAGACACACACACACACACAAAATCCTTGGGAGCCCAGAATGGTAGCACATACCTACCATCCCACACTCTGGAGGCTGAGGCAGGAGGATTGTCATGAGTTGGAAGTTAGCTTGGGCTACAAAGCCAGACTCTGTCTTCTTTAAAAAAAAAAATCCTTGGGAAGAATACAGTTTGGTTTCAGTTTGTGTCCCCTAGGAGTTGAGTATATAGCAGTGAATAAAACAGACAAAAATGTCCTATGCTAGCATTCTAGTGGAGATACAGACAATAAATAAAGTCCTTTCGAAGCTGAGGGAAGAGTGAGTGCAGGAGCCTGGAGATGGGCAGAGGCCTGTGATGCTAAGGGCCATCTTGGCTGGACAGCATGGGTGTGAGCATGAGTGGAGGCCGCGAATGTAGGGGAACCACTGTAAGAATGTTGGCCTTTATCTCACTGAGATTATGCTTTAGTTTCCTAGGCCTGCGAGAACAAATCATTCACAAACCAAGTGGCTTAAAACTCAGAGAAATTTTTTTTGTCCCATTTCTGGGGGCTAGAAATCTGAAAGTACTCCAGTCTCCACCTTCACCTTCACATGTTCTTTCCTCTCTGTGCGTTTTCTCTTCTCTTTTAAAGGACAGTTGTCATGGGTTTGGGGCCTGTCCAGGTAATTCAGGGTGATCTCATCTCAAGACCCTTACCTTCATTACATTTTGCACAGAGCCCTTTCAAAGCAAGTCACATTCACAGGGTCTGAAGGTTAGGTTGTGGACGTAGCTTAGGGAACCATCTTTCATTTTCTACCCATGGGAAGCCTAGGGGGTTCTGAGCAGAAAAGGAATGCAGCCTGATTTAGTTTTGTGGCCCTTTTAAGCTGCTGTGTTAAGAAGATGCAACTGGGAGTAGAGGGAAGTAACCCAGAAGAGATCACTGGAAAAAACTAGGGAAGTCATGACAGACAGCATCCAGAGGAGAGAAGAACCACGTGTCTGGATTCCTTCGGAAAAGCAAGCTTACTGGTTTAGCTCACACGGTTCATGATGGGTGTGTGAGAAAGACAAAGCCCATAGGAAAAACATGAATGGTATCTCAAATTCACTCAGCCACATATGCACCATTGAAGCACAGAATAAGGGGGAAGCGGTAAAGTACGGACGCACTGGTTGACACTGGGGATTTGTGATATTTTTTAGTTTTTTCCCTGCACAAAGTCCCGAACTGCGGCCGCTATGGACCTTCAGTCACGGAACCCTTGACGTGGAGCCCAGCTAAGGGGCTCAAGTCGCGGCGTTCAGTTACATGTAAAACACACTGGAAAGACTTAGTGTGAAAAGAAATGTAAACTATCACATCATGCTACGTATCACTTGCATGCTGAAATGCCATTATTTTGGATAGCAGGGGTAAATACAATTCATTTCAAAATCAATTTCACCCTTTTGTTTTTACTGTTCTTTCTTGTGGCTCACACTGACTTCCCATTGGCCAGTGCCCCCTGAACGGAAGACAAATTCCGAGCATCAAGAGGGGCTTGTAACCCCTCTGTGCTTCAATGTCTTACTTTTTCAGTAGGGACTGATCTGACACCAGCCTGACAGGATAGGCGTGTGAAAGCAATTGGCTGCTATTCCTGACAGAGTGTCCCGCTACCGCGGCCAGAAGTAAACTAGGAATCAGCTCTCGAGCCGCGGCGAGGCCACGCCCACGCGCGGTGGAAGCCCGAAGCTCGCACTTCCAGCCCCGACCGCCAGGGGGTGGTGGAGTCCTGCGGCGCATGAGCAGTTGCTGCCACCGCAGTGGCCGAGCCAGCCAATGGGAATTGAGCCGACGACCCGCGCTCGCCTCAGGTGCCGCCCCCGGACGGTCTCTCCTCCTCCCGCCCCTCGGCGCGGCACGCACTGGGCGATGCGCGCGTGGGTGGGGCTTGGCGGCGCGGCCTGACGAGATCGGGGCGGCGGGAGCCTGCGGTAGCG